GTTTTATTGTTAGTAACAAACAGCTCAAATAACAGCTGGTTAAAATCAATTTTTTGTCTTACCCTCCTCTGTCCCAAACTGCAGCCCAACTTTAATAGTACTTTCAGGCAACTCATCAGCGACTGCAGTTCTGTCCATACATGGCATCCCAAAGGGACTGGATTTGGCTTGCGTGCTGCGTTTGCTCCCAGCTTCTCCTAGATCTCAGTTGCCCCAAAATACATTTCAGAGAGTTTCCCCAGGAGGTTCTGAAAGACGCCTGGGTCTCCCACGTGAGTCCCATTCTCCTGTGCACACCCCACACACCCTTCTGGGCCACTCCCTTCAACAGAAATGTGTTTTGTGCTGAGGCTGAATAGTATATTTGAATGACAAATTAACAGTTAATTAATATAACAGTTCTAAACTGAACTGGGGTCATCCTAGTTTGCTTAAACCAGGCAGAGGACCATTGTTAAACCCAGGCTTTCTCTGATCTAATTACAAGCAATCAAGTGCTCCTACAGAAGGAGATATCACTGGATTATTTAATTTTCACAGCTGCAGATTAGTAAAGCAGGAAATAGTCACAATCTAGCCACATACTTCACCCCTGCTTAACAAGAATAGAAGAAAAACATGTTTCGTCACTCAGTGATGTTCCTAACCAAAACTACTGGGAGTAGGAGCCTTTTCCTGAGATTTTTCCCCTTTGATTCTTTAGAATTGCTCCACGAGCTCCAAAAGCGAGGACTAAACAGAAAACTAGCGGAGGAAAAAAAACCACCCAAACCTTTCATTCTGTGTTAGATACTGAGCACTTACAAGCAGACGCTCAATATTTTTGCCAGTTGGCATCCCTTCAGAAGGCATGTACTATTGTTTTGTTTAATTTTGCTTGTGGCTGATTGAGCGGCTACCAAATAGGAATCAGATTTGAGCAGCAACATCTCCCAGATGCAGGGAGGAATGCACACGCCAACTAAACAAAAGCAGAAGAACTTCTGCCTTCTGATGTAGGATTGTTCCAGCTCCAGGTGGTTTTGAAGCAGCTTGTACTTAGAAGTCACAAGAGCAAGGCACACCTGAACGGAGTGCCTGCGGGAGGGAGCTAAGAGCTGGCAAACAGCTGCTAGAAGAACATTTTGTTTGAGACCACCTTTGCTAGTCCACCTGAAGTAAATTTACTTTTTTCAAAATAAACAAGGCCATAAAATAGGTGACATAGTTGAGCCTGGGGTGCACACACTGGTGAAGCTGCAGAACACCTGCCGTGCCACCCAGTCCACAGAGCAGCTGGGATTGCGGGGACGGGCTGTGCAGCTCTGGGCAGCTCAAAGACACAGCTCCTGCGCACCAGAAAAACACAAGTTTAACAGCAAAGTACAGTTAAACAGTACTGTGTTTCCTGTTAAATAGCTGCAATAGCACCGTGTGTGGTCTTTACGTTCCCACTGCTGCTATGAGCCTTGCCCTCGACTCCTGCTTGTCATTACTGTGTGTTCCAAATCGCCCCCAGGAAGGCTGCGTCCCCTTTTCATTTGGTAGAATTTGAGTGCCGTTTATAGTAAGAAGTCTCTGGTGGTGGTACAGACCCCTCCATTGGGATAGGTCTTAGCTTAGGAAGCTAAGTTCTCTGAACCGAATGTGCTACGGCTGGCATGAGGACTTCTCATCAATGTGCTTTTTCTTACATAACAAAGCAGGAACACCAAGAAAACAACAATTTTTTTTCTCTCGCATCTGTACACACACAGAAGTGTATTGACCCACTGCCTGGGGTGCGGGGTCAGGGCAGCAGCAGACAGGCCTGGCAGAAAGCCCCTGTTCAGCCGCACCGTGCCCCAGCTGTGTTTCAGCATTTTTTTTCCTCTCTCCTTTTCTCGGGCACAGGACGGGTCACAGCCCCACGTCCCGCTAACAGAGATGCAGCCTAAGGCTTTGGAAAGGAGGTGTCAACGCAACGTCAGGCACCCCCATAGCGCAGCAACCCCTTTTCCCTCTGGCACACGTGCCTATGGATAGACCAGACCCATCTCAGAAAATAGAGCTTGCAAGTGTTAAACAATGAAATGGCTACAGTTAGAATCTGCATTTATATTAAAAGGGTCTCATACCAGGTTAGTTAACCACAATGGGTATCTCCAGTTAAGGCAGTTGGGCTACATTTGCTGCAGATAATTTCTGTAACGTTATAAAAAAACATATTTAGGTATTTAGGGCCTTGCCGTAGCGACATCTCCTTTTTACAGCCTTTAAATAGTAGGGAAATCAGCTCTCATAACTATACAAGCTTATTACTCACCCTTCAAGTAAAACTTTTTAATTATACTTCTCCAGAAATATAAAGCATGTCAGAAAATAGCCCCCCTCTCTCCCTAAGCAAGCACAGACAGCCTGTTTAACCTACTCACAGCTCCCCCTTATTTGAGATTAGTCTGTCTGGGGAAAGAGATAAGATTGTCCTTGAAGACTGATAAAAATTCTAGACAGAAACTGGGGGGGGGGGTTTATCCTTAGCAGTTAATGAATCGGTAAGGGAAGTTATTGTTTAAAGAATCGGAATTTAATCTCAAAGTCATTGGTCACAAGATATTTATTGGTTGAGAAGTGGAAAAAGAGTCACAGTTACCACTTTGGTAAGTCTTGGACTGTAGAAAATTTATTGCTAATTTTAAAAGCACCTTAATTTCCACACAGCCTTAGCAAAATGATACTGTGCTTAAGACAAGGCTCAATAACATGATATATTTGGGGGAGAACTACACAGACATTCTATTTTTGTTTTGCTTCAGTTCAGTAAAATGCATTTTGTATAGGGACTAAATAGTTATCATGCCACGTCAGGACAAGATTGAGCATCGATAATACTGCTGTTCAGCATTACAGACATTCCGTTGTGTCTTCTTGCATTTTTGTATGGATCTAATTTTCTCCAAAGCTAAGGATTTCAGGAACTGGGGGTGCTGGGTGAAAACGAGCAGATATCTGACTTAGACAGTGGAAGGACACTCCACTTACTTAAACCAGATTTCTCCTTGCCTTGAAACGCCGGTGCTAACAGGAGGTGAGCGCGCTTTGCAAAATTCTGGCAGCTTCTTGGCTCTCCCTCACTAGACCTTGAGCTTTATGCTCTAGAGGGATAACAAGCTCATCTTGAAAATCCGTCATTGCACAAATACCTAGGTTTAAACCATTGCTGGAATTTTTACAAGGTGCCATGGTTGCTGAGAATCTATATTTGGCCAATGGACAAGTCCAGGCAGTTATCCGCTGCTTGTTTGGACAAGTTAGTTGTCATGGAAAATTAGCATTATGCTCACTCTGCTCTAGCGTATCTTTAAACGCTATCTGCAGCACTCATGTTCTCTAACAAATCTTTTCACTATTCAAATAAAATTTTTAAATGTTACCACTGGCAAAGAAAAAAACAGAATTAGAAAAGGGAGTCAGGCTGAAAACTAATCAGTTCTAGTTGAAATGTAGCAATTAATAAGTACCTAACAAAATAACATACTTGCAAATGCCCTACACTTAAAAGATACTCAAAATTATAGAATGGGAGATGACAGGTATATAGGACAATATGATGTCTTGCACACCCAGTAAACAACCCCGCTTTAGGACAACGGCAGCATCCAATTCTCTGGATGTAGTTTTCTCCTAGTTTCCTCTCCTAAATATCAGTGAAAATAAACCCCCAACTTAAAAGGCACAAATGAGCATTGAGAATCTGGTATCCACAGGTGTTATTACCCATTAACCAGGCAACCAATACTTTTATTATTGTGTCCTTGAATTTATGTGGACTATAAGCAAGAGCCTCTGCCTTTATTAACCTTGAAGTAAACTGACATAATGAAGTTTTTCTATCAATCGCGTATGCTGTAGCTGGATTTAAGTAAGTCCAAGGTTGTCATCAGAAGTCTCAAAGGTTCTTATCCCCAAAGGAGGTCTGAGGGTTCAGGACCAGAGCTTGCAAAGCGGGGTGCCCACAAGGCTGCCACCGGCAGGGGCTGCACGGCCTTGCCCCGTGCGGGCAGGACTGCGCCTCAGAACTGCTGGGGAAGCCTGAGAGATGTTCAACATCTGCCTGCAAACAAAGACTTTGTTAAATTTGTAGTAGATGCGAGGATCTGTAGGGAACATTTACACTCTTTCAGGCTTGCTGCCAGCAACAAGCCCTGCTCTTACAGCTGTGTCTCTTCAATGCTTCACGTCCACAAGCCACAACATGTTTTGTTTACTACATCCCGACTTTCATGGAGTGGCCGTAAACACAGTGTGTAAGGGATAAAAGGGACGATGGACTAAAGGAGGGACGCAAACGACGAAAACAGCCGCCGGCAAAGCACAACCCCAGCCGCTGCCCCTCAGCACAGCTCTCGCCGGGCCTTCGCCCTGTCTGTCCCTCAGCCCGGGCACCGCTTTTCCGTTCCGCCCGACGCCCCGGGCCCAGGCTCTGGTTCTCCACCCTGTAACGCCCCGGGGACGGGCGGGCCGGCACGGCCCTCTGCCGCCCGCCTGTGAGGCGTCGCCTCAGGCCCGCGGCCGTTGCCCCGCTGCCGGCGCGCGGCGCGGCCGTTGCCCCGCGGCCATTAGGGGGCGCTGGGGAGACCTGACCAACGGGCGGCCAAAATGGCGGCGTGGGGTTCGGACCGCGCTGCGGCGCGGTAGGGCCTCCCCCCCACTCCCCCGGTCCGCCGCGGGCCGGGCAGCGGAGCGGGCGCAGCTGGTGGTGCGTGGGGGATCCCGGCTGGCTCGGGGCAGGGGCTGAAGGGTGGCTCGGGGCTCGCTTTTCGCGCGGGGCGGGCCTGGGTGCCGGGGGAGGGGCGGCTGAGGCGCGGCGGGAGAGAGAGACTCCCTCGGGGCGCGGCGCTGAGGGGAGGGCCGCGTGTTCCGCCCGCGGAGGCTGGAGCGGGGCCTGCGCGGGGACGCGGGGGGAGAGCGGGGGGACGGGGTTGTGCCTCCGCAACGCCGTCCCCTCCCATCCCCCGGTTCTGGCGGCCTTGGTGAGTCAGCCTCGTCGTCGCCGCCGGCCCCCCCTCCACCCCCCGCCGTGACTCGGCAGCGCCGCCGCTCCTGGTCATGCTCAGGCATGTCGGGCCGCGGCCAGCGGAGGAGCTATGCCCCGACTTGCCTCCTCTTGGCAGCGCTATATAAGGCCTAGCCTGGCCCGGCCCGACTCAGCCCAGTTACCCGCCGCCGGAGTCCGGCGTGTGGGTTGGACCGGGGCAGCGAGGTGAGTGGGCAGCGCTGGGGTGGTGGAGCGCGGCCCTGAGCTCCCCCCCGGGGGGTCTCTCTGTCCCGGAGGGGCGGGCGAACCTGCGTTGTGTAGCTGTGTTACACGTTTTGAGGTTGTTCTTCCCTTGATTTCAGGCAAATGTGCAATACCAAGATGTCCTCCCTGACGGATGCTGCTTCTGTCACCGCTTCGGAGCAAGAGGCGCTGGTCAGTAGCTCTGGTGGATGCTCGAGTTTTTCGTGCTTTCTGCAGAGTTTTTATGTGCTAATTCAGAAGGGCTGCTTTGCTCAGCGAGCAACGGTTAGAGAAAAAGCAGGAAATCCGGTGAAGGTGGTCTGCCTTTGATCCTGTAATTGTGAAGCAAATGTTTCTTGTTTCTTGAGAGTTGAGGGTGATGGTTTAGGTCTAGACTTTGTTTCCTGGAGACCTTTGATGGTCAGGTTGCTTTCTTTTAATAAAAGGGATCTTAAGGTCTGATTTGATAACGTTAAGTATTTCATAGTGGGAATTGTTCTGTTCGTAACTGAAGAGTTGTGGACGATCTCTGTTGTGAAAAACATACGCTGGTTTTGAAATAGTCCTGTCATTACAACTGAAGGTTTTCTGAATTTGGTATTTTCACTTTTTCCTCTATTGGAATTTGTAAGCAAGATGTAATAAGAGTCTTCATTTGTGTTCATGGCTTTGCATACCCAGGCTTTCCATGATACAGTGACAGTTCTGCTGTTTTTTCTGTGTAAGTTTGTCTGAGGATGGAAGCCAGTTAAAATTGGCATGTGTGCAATGACGGTTTAACTAGGTGCCTCTCTGTACAAGGGTAAACTTAAAAGTGTAGGCTGGTAGGACAGAAAAAAAGTGAAGTAACAGAGCAGCAGGCTCTTCAAAGTTGATTTTTTTTGTTTGCTTTTTCTTTTTGTAAGATCACAATGTGATGCTACCCTCTGCTGTCAGAACTGTGTGGCAGAAGAACTTGCAGGAGTTGGGGGGAAAAGGGCTGGGGAGTAAAATGATCTGAACCCATGGGTCTAGTTGTGGATGCAGAAACTGCCTTCCTATGCTCGGTTGTCATTAGTAGTTTAATAAGTTACTCTTTGCTTCCTTTATGAAACTGTAATATATGCTGCATGCTGTAAATAATTCACCTCTTAGGAAGGGGTAAATAGACATCTAACGTTGTCCACAAGCTTTTTCATTTTTCTCATGATGTGTATTTCTTGTAACTAATCTCTAGTTAGCACTAAAACTTAACGTTGGTTTTAGCAGATACTTGAAAAAGAATGTAGAAAAGTTCCCCCTTTCCCTTAAGCATTGATATCATGCTCATGTGCTCATACTTTCCTAGAAAATGTTTCTTTTCTATCTTATTTTTTCTTATTTTAGGGAATGCATTAGGATAGCTAAATTTTAGCCTGTTCTTAGAGTGTTTATGCTATTGTTAAAAAAGTTGCAATACTAGAGTATACGGCACTGGAACTCCAGTGGCTCCATGGGCATTTTCTTTGCCGTTGTGGCATTCCCTGCAGCTTGTTCTAGTGTCCTGCACTGGTGCTGGCACTGCTGTTTGTGGAACAGTGCTGTGAATGGGATCCAGACACTGCTCTGACCAGAGGAGGAAAGAAAAGAATAAAAAAGAGCGGGGAAGTGATTTTTTTATTTTTTTTTTTTTTTTTAACTTTTCCATCCTCTACTTCGGAAGTTGTCATAGACTGGCTGCAGATATAACTCTGCTGGCACGATGAGGGTGTGGGAGGTCATTGAAGGGAGGAGTGATTGAAATAGGACTGAAAGGACAGAGTGTGCTTATTCCGTGTACAAAAACACCCCACAGACAAACAAACCAGTCTCCAGAGTTAAAGCAGCCCAGCCAGCAAGTGCAAAACCACAGCTGCAGAAACTGTCACAGGACAGGACTAAGAAAGCGGTGGACCCGTGTTCTACTTTGTAACTTGCCCTCTGAACCTGACAGATAGTCACAAGGTCCCTTTGCCTTCCTCCCTCCTCTTTGGGAGTCACTGGAATGACTCAGGGAGTGAAGCGGGATTCCCCAGGACCCAGCCCTGTATATGAAACACCAAATGAATCGGATAGCTCCAATCGAGGAATCTGTATGTGCCAGTGAGATACTGGGGCTTGAGCTAAGATACACACTATGAGAATTTCAGTATGACTGGATTTGCGTTATTTTCTTTTAAGTTTAACTTTGCAAAGTGAAAAACTTGGATGTGGGTAGGTTTTAATGTAGTTGTATATGTGTGTATCAGACTAATACAGAAGGAGGAAGCTAACCTGTATACATAGTGTTTTGTTTGGCAAATAATGGATGTGTGCTGTTTTTCTTCTTCCCCACACAGGTTAAACCAAAACCACTATTGTTGAAGTTGTTAAAGATAGCTGGTGCAGAAAAGGACACTTTTACTATGAAGGAGGTGAGAGCTTTTATTCAAGATTACAGTGAATACAGGTAGATGGTTCTTTTGTTTTGGATGAATAGGGGGCAGTGTAGTTCACAGTTTATGTAGAAGATACTGAGACAAAGTGGTGTTTTTATTCTGCTGACTTGTTAGGTGCCATTTAAGCAAGTTTCTCAAAATCTGAATAGAAGTATGCTGTGGTCAGTCGAATAGCAGGATACTTGGGGAATGACAGATGAAAATTACAACTCAAAGGGATTTTTAGGCCATCGATGTCAGAAGATCAAATCTTAGTGAATTTAATGTCTTTTCTCTTAAACTTGAAACAACAGAACCTGGGTATTTAATGCTGTGTATTTCATTTATTTTGCAGGTAATATTCTATCTTGGACAATATATTATGTCTAAACAATTATATGATGAAAAACAGCAACATATTGTACACTGTGCAAATGATCTCCTGGGGGATTTATTTGGAGTAACAAGCTTTTCAGTAAAAGAACACAGGTAAAATGGGATTTTTTTCTGAGAATCTGGTTGTGAAATAGTGGAGAACATAACGCGTATGGCCTTTTTTAACTCTTGGCGTCTTCAAAGCTGGTAAGCTCTCCTCTATAATTATGTGTAGCTAACTTGCAATGTCTCTTTCTTTATCCCCATCTAAGGAGACTGTATTCAATGATTTCCAGAAATCTGATAGCAATCAATCAACAAGGTAAGCTAGTTTGAGAGGGCCTTTTGTTTTGGGAAAGAGTAGTAGGGAATATATAACTTACTAATGCTTCTTGTAGGTAGTGATCAGATTACAACGATCTCTCCACAATTAGGTATTTGGCTTTACAAGCTACTGTCCAGAATAATCATAAATAGTGAAGCAAAGCAAACACTGCTACTTCTGGGGGAGAAAAGAAAAAAAAAGTCTGAACAGCATTTGGCTAATTTTGTTGGACTAGAACTAGAACAAGCACTATCAGAGCTGAACACAAAGAGAACTAAATTGAAAAATTCGTCATTTGCTTGTCTTTCTTACAGATAAAGCCCTCAACAGCATAAGTTTTAACATTAAAAATTAGCTTCTTGAAGTTGCCAGCAGTAAAGTCAGGGCAAATTCTTTTTATTCTTTCGGTTAGTGTTCTGTTTTAACTTTCAAAACAGAATGTGGAGTACATTTAGAACTAGTCACCCTCAGCTACACTGGGTCCTCTTTTAAAAGAGCTACTTAAAAAAATAGCTTTATGGTAACTTTGTGATAACTTCCATAAATGGAGAAATGTTACATACAGTCTTTCTCTTTTTTTTTTTTTCCCAATATAAAAGTGCTCAATATAACTAATTTTTGACTAATGCAAGGAGTGAACCAGAAGTTAAACAGCGGAAGCTGATTGGCTTCTAAATTCATATTAAGACACCCTTTGTTTCTGAGTTTTCTTAAAGGCAAGTGTTCAGCTGCTGAAGATGGGAAACATGCTCTTTATTATCCCTTATTGTTATGCTTGCCAACTTAATTTAGCTCTCAAGTTCTTTTCTTGAAAGAGAATTTATTAATTCAGGGTCTGTCTGATCATAAACATATATAATTAACAGTTGGGTTTTTTTCTATATAATGTCTTTTTAATTCAGTGTTCCCATAAGATGATAGCTAGTAAAATGTGTTCTAGAGAGGAAAAAGTGTAAAATATTTCCTGCCTAGATTCTGCAGATATGAAGAATCCCAGCTAATGAATAGCCTTCATGTGAAGGCGTTTATAAAATTCCAAGTTCTTTTGTGGTCAAGATTTCTTTTTCCTTCCCATTTCCCACTTCAGTAATGTTACTGGGAAAGTACTGCACTCACCTAAAAAGCAAACAAATGGGGTTGTTCTTTCCATTGTTGCAAAATGTCTGGATGTTAAGTTCTGTTGAGAATTTACTTTGTAATACTGTGTGTTGTTAACTTCAGCTTAGTGGTTAGTTAAGGTATTTAACTTCTCTCCCTTGTTTTTACTGTAATTTTCTTGAGCCTGAAATCAACTTTTACTACTGTGCTATATTACATTCTTTTGGGTTTGGTTTGGTTTCAGACTCTGCAGTTGCTGACACACCTGAGGATGATGCCAGATTTCAGCTTGAAGGAGAAAATGTTCTAAAGGTGATTTCTTTTTTTTTTTTTTTTTTTAAATGTATGTTCTGAAATGTAAATTCTGTTTAGTTTTGCACAATAGTACCAGTGGTTTAGATGCAATTAGTTGATTTCAGTCTTTTACTTCCTATTCATGCTCAGGCTTACTCAGTGTTTCTGTTACCCAGGAATCTCTGCAGGAGTTAGAAGAGAAGCAGACTTCATCAAACGGGAGCTCCCGACCGACTACATCTTCTCGGAGGAGAACACACAGTGAATCTGGTACGTGCAGATTCATGACGCAGAACTCTCAGTGGCACGGACACTTAGGAAAAGAGTACATTCTGTTGCCTTACTGACTTTGAAAGCTGCTGACAAATACTATTCATGTTTCTCTGCTTATCTAAAACAAGATGTTTGGTTTGGAAGAAATACACAATTCCTTGAATTGCCCCAGTGTCATGTTACCGTTTGGATCTCTAAAACTGTTAGTAAGATGATGGAATAACTTGTTCCACAGAGCTGTTAAACTTGTTCACATCAGCAGAACTTAATCAGTTGTGTTGTCTTCATGATGAGAACATTCTTGTTTGCAGTAGACTGTAGCAGTCAAATTCATTTCAGTTCCCTCTGTAGATACGCACGACATTTTACATTTTGTTTGCTCTCTAAAAGCAGTTTTCATTGGATTTCAATTGGTGGCAGATGTCAAAGGTCTGGTAGTAACACAGGATGATTTGGGATGCTTAGGTACCTGACCATTCATTAAGCACTTAAAACGTCTGGTGACATCATATTTGTCTCCTCTTTCTCTTTACTGTGGTTATTCAATAATCACTGGCAAACAAATTTTCAAAATGTGCAAAGTTTCTTCTGATAATTAGCTAATAACTAGCTGGACAGCATAATAGATTTCTCAATGGAAGCATCCTCTACAGTTCTACTTAAATACTGTTCTGTGGAATTTCTTACATTAGTTTGTTCCATCACTTAACTTCTGTTACCTCATGACTTGATGGTTGTAATTACCTGGGCAGTGATAACCTTCTGTCACTGCATAGAACTTTCTTTTCTTCAGTTGCTCAGGAACATTTTTTTTTCAGTTCCTCAGCTTTTGTGTAGTATTTTTTTGTGTTCGTCATAGGCCACTGTTGTGTTAGTCAGTCCAAAAACTGTGCTGCGTTGCTGAGCGGTTTGCACTAAATTAAAAGAACATTTTAATGTTGTAACAAAAACTGGTGAAAGGCTGGAAAGTCTCAGTTAAACATCATAACCTGTAATATTTAGGCATGACCCAGAGCACATAAGGTCCTGTGTTATGCTTACTTATTGTAGGTTTGATTTTTAACTCTGTCTTTGCATCCTTTTATTAGTTTGTTACAACCTTAAAAGTTCTTTTAATATAGTGTTTTTATATACACTTTTTTTCTAATTTATAGGAAATCTTCCTTTTAAACCACTATTCTTGTTAAATTGGGATGGTAGCGGCTCCTTTGGAGCCGCTGACATAGTGTATAGAAACCTTGTGGTGATACAGTATCAGTACAGCATGGAGCCATGACAACTAAATGAGGACAACGATGGACAGGAGCAACCCTTGGGCCTGGGGGCACCAAATTTGGTGGGGCTCTCAGGGCGGAAAAAAGAAAAGAGAGGGGCTGAGCCAAGAAGCACCAAGGGAAAGTAAGAGAAGTCTCAAAGTATGTACAAGTGTTTTGTTCTCTTTTCTTTTACAATGAACGATTCAAGACTTGAAGACTCGTGGATTGTCAGGACGCGTTGTGCGAGGCAAGGGAGAGGCTGGGCAATAGAGGGTGGGTGCAAAAGGCACCTGTAGGGGGGCAGCGGGTTCTTAGTGAGGTCTGTTGAACCAAGTTGTCAGGCCTCCTGGGGAGTTTTCACTCCGCTGCACTTACATACTGACTTTGCAACATTTTTTAAATAAAATTGTTTCTTACCAAGCACTTCTAAAAGTCAGCGGAGCTGAATCATTACTTATCTACCCCTGAAACGCTGCCCCCCTACTCCTTATGCTGCTGTAGGTGGTTGTTTCAAAGCATGATGTATTTAAAAAGCATTGTCTTTTTGCTTTCAAACCAAGCGTATTTAGTAAGCACAGCTTAAAGCAATGCTTCCAGGGTTCTATTTTTACATAGTATGACTAGAAGATTTTCTTGCTAGTGTGTGGTGAAAGTCATAATGGTTTGTTACAAAAATCCAGCTGAGTAAATACAGTTACATATAGTGCAACTATTAACTCATAAAATTGTTGAGGTATTGGAAACTTGAACCTGAATTTATCCTGCCTACCATGAGGTCCTTGTATGAATGTCACATGTGAGCTATTTCCTCTGTCTCCCTGCAAATTCTATGATGGGCTAAGAAGCCCTCTGAAAGTGCTTTGCTGTCTACTGACTCTAGAGGGAGTGTGGACAATTAAGATCCGATCTGTTTTCCTTAAAACTAGGAGGGGTTTAACGTGTCACGTGTAAAGTGGAGCAAAAATGCTTGCAAATTTGCAGTTATTTTAGTTCCTGCATGTGGGCACTGCCATTTACAATTGTACTGATGGGACAAGTTGGGAAAACCAGCCCCTGAAATACTGGTTTCAGGAATGTTTCACACTTTAATGTTTCCCAGTGTTACTGTGTCTATTTTTTTAAAAAAGTTTTTGGTGCCTTTATACTTTTTTTCCCCATAAAATAATACTGAATGACATTATTTTTCTTGAATTGCTGTATAAGTAAATGACGTTTTAAGCGCCTGTTAGGAATATTCAAAACTGCGCATTGCATGGATGTTTTTGGAGTAATAAAAATTCTTGAATGTGCCCAGAAGAAAATTCTTCAGATGATGTGCATAGTGACAGAAGAAAACGACACAAGTCAGACAGCATTTCGTTGACGTTTGATGAAAGTCTCTCCTGGTGTGTAGTCAGTGGTCTGTGCCGTGAAAGAAGCAATAGCAGCGATTCTACAGATTCTCTTTCCATTCCTGTAAGTCAAAATCTATGTTTTCGTGGTACCAACTCTGCAGATGCCACAAGTGCAAATACACATTTTAAAAGATTATGTTCTTAACTAAAAGCAGCAATGCCTTCAGTGGGGTCTGAAGAAAGAAAAGGGCTGAAAGAAAAGTTGGTGTGTGGTTGGAGTGGGCTTTTTCATAGATCTGCTGACAAAGCTGAACTGAATTTTATAAAATACTAACTCTGGATATTCTTTAACAGACACATTCTTACTGCTTGGCACAGTATTGAGAAAATGCCAGATACATATTGTGTTTTAAAATAAGTATTTCTTAAAATACTACGAGAAGAAAAGCAGTCACAGACGTTCCAAAACGCAGAACAGCTGGTGTTTCTGGGCATCTGGCAGTTCCAGTACAGCTTCAGTAACTGTACATGGTAGCGCCCTGGTGATAACACTGGAGTCATTCTCCAGACTCTTAATGTCTTCTCTTGTTGTTTTCAGTAAAACTGAGGCAAATTATCTGTGCTTAGGTTAAGTCTCAAAGAGCTAAACTAACAGCATTCCTAGTCATATACTGTATTTTGAATTGACAGAACTAATACTGCAGCTTCACTTTGGCAATTTTATAATTGTTTAGCCACTGTCTCAAGTTACAGTTAAAAAAAGTTGATGAGAATAGAAAAATTAATGACACACAGACAAAAGACAGCATCCGTTCTTTCACTTTTTAGGAGAGCCTTTGTGAAATAGTAGCAGCAGTCTGCAAGCTGGCTGTAGGTTGGCTGGAGCTTCTATTACAGAGCTGTCAAAAGACTTTCAGATCTAGCTTTGTTTTTACTCACCTATAACTCATTTGTCTCATAAAAGATGTTCTAGCAGCAGCTGGCCTTATTTCTTCCACAGCTAATTAAATTAAGTAGTTTGGTTTTACTTATGAGCTATCTTAACAGTAATGGGTATGGATATGGACTAGTGACGTTCAGTTATGGACTAGTGAGGCTGAATGTGCACTTTCTTTCTCTTTTTTTTTTCAGGATCTTGATGCCAGCTCATTAAGTGAAAACTCTGATTGGTTTGAACACAGTTCTGTTTCAGACCAGTTCAGCGTAGAGTTTGAAGTTGAGTCTATTTATTCAGAAGATTATAGCCATAATGAAGAAGGGCAGGAGCTCACAGATGAAGATGATGAGGTACATATTTGTTTTGTTTGGGATTTTTTTGACTTGCAGAGTGAGAGGGCAAAGGACACTTACGGGAATATTTTGTGTTGAGATTCCAACAAGAAGTAATTCTTCAGGTTTATTTCAGGACTGTGTGTGTGTGCTATGTGACAAACTGTGCTCAGTCGTTTGTTAAATCAATTTGCACACGTGTGCAGTTGGGTCACCATCATACACGCACCAGGCAGTGACCGGAACAGTGCTAAGGCTCTCCCTAGACTCTTGGCAGTCTGGAGAAGTCTCTCTTTAAACTCACTCACTGGCTGTTGGAGTCGATGGCAGCATGTGTGTTTGGAGTCTGTTTCTACATTTTTACTTACAGGAGTGTGTGCTGAGCTATGACGACACTTCTGATACTGAATGAAAACTTTCCTAGTAACTCTTTGCAAAGGGATAGTTCCGAATCATTTGCTTCCATGAATATGTTTCAGAAAGATACTGAAACTAAATTTTAGACATTTTCTTTGGGTGGCAAGAAGACAGGAACATTGTGAATACCGTCATTTTCAAGAGCTCTAGATAAATGGAATGTTAGGAATGATTTTTTTTTTTTTTCTGAGTTATTTTTCTGTTACTTCAAAGTGGTGAATCGGCTCATGGCAAGATGAAGTACCAGAGGCAGAACATGCTGGGGACATACATGACTGTGATAATTGAGAGGCTGAATGGGACTGACTGTAGTGATGTACACCGGGTTATAGTGCTGTGGAGCTGCACCCTGAGATAAGATGGGGATTTGGAGGAGGAAAGGATTGAGGGTGCCCCTGCTCCCAGCAGTAGTGTTGAGAATTGCAGAATGGTTGAGGTTGGAAGGGGCCTGAAGGTGGCTCAGGAGCCCCACCCCTCCTGGCTCAAGCAGAGCTGATTGCCCAGGACTGTCCAGACAACTTTTTAATATCTTCAAGGATGGAGGCTCCACAGCTGCTCAGGGTGGCCTGTGCTTGGTCAGCCTCACAGTAAAAAAAGTGTCTTCTGACATTCAGATGGAACCTCCTGTGTTTTAATTTATGCCAGTTTCCTCTTACTGGAAAGAGCTTGGCTCCGTTGTCCTTACACCCTTCTTTCAGGCACACGTTGATAAGACCCCCCTGAGCCTTCTCCTCTCCAGGCTGAACGGTCCCAGCGCTCTCAGCCTTTCCTCATGTGAGAGCTCCCCCAGTCCCTTAATGATGTCACTGGCCCTTCGCTGGACTCTCCAGTAGCTCTGTATCTCTCATGTACTGGGGAGCCCAGAGCTGGACACAGAGCCCCAGCCTGACCAGTGTTGAGCCGAGGGGAAGGATGACCTCTGCTCTAGAAAGCAGTACCTTCTCTCTGTCCACTCTACGTTTTTCTTCCAACTGTGTGTTACAGGCGTGAACAGAATTCTTTCCCCTCAAACCAGTCATCAGATCTTGTGGGGTTACTTGCTAGTGTAAATGAATGTATCTGCGCTGCTTACTATGTTTGATTAAAAGACTGATTAAAAATCTATTAGATAAAAATCATCAGCTTTCCTAATTGAATGCCCAAACTCACATCAATACTTTCTGAATTTAAACCAGGTGTATCAGCTGACTATTTACCAGGATGACGATAGTGATGCCGATTCGTTTGATGAAGATCCAGAGATTTCTCTAGCTGTGAGTAACAACTTGACTGGCAAAACCTCATAAGCTGGGTGAACTGACAGAGTAGATCAAGGAGTACAGATGAATTTTATTGCTACCAGTAATTTTTTAAGAATTAAATTGACTTTTCCTTATATGCTTGAAGATTCCAAGACAGTATTTTAATTATTGAATATGTGATATTGAGGAACCTTGATTTTTTTTTTTTTTTTTTTTTTTTTATTAGTAAGCTTCGTAATCTGTTAAAAAACCCCACGCTAACTTATGGTTTCACTGACTTAATGGAAGGAAATTATTTGGAGCCTAAATCTGACTTTTTGCGCAAAATGCAAAAAAATTAATCTTAGTCATGTATATTTAAAAAAACCTTCCTACAAATCATAATATCTAGTTTTATTGTCCAACCGGAATGAAGGAATCTGTAGCATACAGACGGGAAGGCAAACCTGTTTTCAGAACAGTACTGTAAAATAAAAGGATTTGAGGCTTTTTTTGAATTCTGTGAGACCATTCTCGGAGTGTGGGAATAAATTCAGAGGTTTGAGGCAAAGTGTGTTGACATAGGTGAAAAAAGCACACGCTAGAATGAAAGCAAAGTCTATCTTTTTATTTATGTTTGCTTTTCACAGTTGAAGCTTGAATAAAGCTGTTGTCCAAAACTGTCTGAAATGTTCCAGTCCCTTAATGGTCTGTAGGACTGAGGTTCTTTGCTATGTGTGTAAAACACAGGGCTTGCCACTATCTAAAAACATAACTCTGTTTATGTGTGGAAAAATATGTCTGTGTGTTATTTTTAGGACTTCAAATTGGTCTTCTAAGCTTTTGATGTCACTGATGTTATTCAGGACTCAAACAAAAAGTGCTTTGAATCTTCTAAATAAGTTTTGGTGTTTTATTTCCCCTATGGCATGCGTTATGTCTAAGAAAGGTCTTCTTAAAAACGAAGTGTACTTGTAATGAGACAGTGGTTTATGAGATGCATTCCTCCCCGCCCACCCCCCGATGTTTTCTAGTTTGTCATTCTGGGTCAGAGTGCCCCCACCCGGCCGTTTGGCAGACCAACAGCAGTTTAACCATCCCACAGCTTACATGTCCCTTCGGTCTGGAATAGTTTCCATTTCAGAAGTCTATTGTTGAAAATAATGGGAATGGTGACCTTTTTATCAGAAAGAAGTTTTTCATGAGGTTCTCTGAAGACTTTTGTGGTCTGATTTCTTCAGTTTTTGCCTAAGAAATATAAATCGTTTATTGTTCTACCTCTATTCATTTCACAAATCTACCGCAAGAAGAAAGTCAGAGAGTCTTTTAAAAATCAGACTATTTAAATCTAGAACCGTAAAATGGGGCCAAATACTGAATGGAATTTTAAAATTATAAACAAGTCAGTAGCTCAAGATAGCAGTTATTTTGGCAGTAATGAATTGTTTATAATCTGTGCATACTGCAATGGTAAGCATTCCAAGTATCTTAAGCTGTTCCAACCTTTAATTCACTAAGGATTATTGGAAGTGTCCCGAATGTAGCGAGATGAATCCTCCGCTGCCCCGACACTGCCACAGATGCTGGGCCCTTCGTGAGGACTGGCTTCCAGATGAAAAAAGCGACAAATTGGAAAAGAGCAAAGCAGAAACTCCCCTGGAGCCTGAAGAAGGTTTTGATGTTCCTGACTGCAAGAAAGTGAAAATGACTGAAGATAAAGAGCCGGCTGCGGAGGAGAATGAGGATAAAGCAGCACAAATTTCTGAGTCCCAGGAAAGTGAAGATTATTCTCAGCCCTCGACGTCGAGCAGCATGTTTTGTGGCAGTCAGGAGGACTATAAGGAACCTGAGAAACGAGAAATGCAGGACAAAGAGGACAGCGTGGAGTCCAGCCTGCCCATTACCAGCATAGAGCCCTGTGTCATATGTCAGAGCAGGCCGAAGAACGGGTGCATAGTGCATGGCAAAACGGGACACCTCATGTCGTGTTTCACCTGCGCGAGGAAGCTGAAGAAGAGGAACAAACCCTGTCCGGTGTGCAGGCAGCCCATACAAATGATTGTACTAACTTATTTCAGTTAGGTGGAAGGGGACTGGAAAGCAGCAAAAGGAACTTCGTAAACTGGTTGAGAGAGCAAGAAACTATTTTTGTATGCTTCTTGAGAAATGAATATTTTGAGTGTCTACATTTGGTATGAAAAGCAATTGCTGAAATAAATGCACTGGAGTTGTTAGCACAAGAGGTTAGCCTAATATTCCTAAGTCAACCTGAAGATTTTTAAATCCCTCACTAGAAGTAACCAATTCCTGTAAACTGCCTGCCTCTCCAAGTGTTTTGTGTTCCGTACGAGTTGGTGACATTTGGTTTACCACATTACATACGCACATTAAAAGCCCCAAATTCTATGAATATGAGAGGGGAGACATGTTAAAGAGTTCGTTAATGTGAGCTCCCGCTCTTAAGAACATAGAAGATTCTCCAGATTCCAGTATCTATTGCCTGTTGAAGATGCCAGGCTCAACCAGAACCCTCCGAATAAGTCAATAAAATAAATAAGTAGAATCTTGTCTCCCTCATTCCCAAAACTGAAATTCCTCCAAGTAACCAAATTATGGGGGAGATCTTACTAGGAAGTGGAGGAAGATGCGAGAGAAAATAATTTAAGGTTATTGAAACAAGAGAGGGGTCCCAAGAACCTGGATTTTGAAAAGCTTTGTGGCTTTGGAGGTCTGGACTATCCTGGTTATTATTTTAGCAGCTTGAGAACTTGACCAGGCAAGATAAATGAAGGATAAATGCACTATTGAGTCAGGTAATAGCAGGAGACAGTCGTATTCTTTTTCTGCTCTCATTTTTGACGTCAGCAGTATAGCACGTAGCTTGATCACTACATTTTGCTTGAATAAAAATAGTAAGGAAAAACAGGTACCTGCATCTGCAGAAACAAATAAGCTCTGTAGTTCTAGATCACATAAACATTCTTGAAATTCTGTATCTTTCCAACTTGCACTGTTTGTATCACAAGGATTCTGAAAATCCTTGGTGTTTGGCCAACTCAAAAACGGGTCTCATTGGACCTGTCCTTTACTGCTTTTAGCTTGTCTCCTCACTGCACTTTGTCAAAAGCTTTGTATTTACTCCTTTGGAAAAGTAGATCACGAGAGGAATTGTATGTTTTTAGCACCTTAAAATTGTATAGGTGGTTACTGATCAGCTGCCCAATGGAGAGTGGCAGGTGAGTAGCTTGAGCATCAGGGCAGTGCCAAGATGTAGCCTGAAGGCAGGAGTTGTGCTGTTCCCATCCTGAGGCCAGGGATGAACAGCTTCCATACCCACACCCGTACGGAGCTGTTGATGCCCGTGTGCTAGTGCAGAGGGTTTTACTGCTTTAACTACCTTCACACCAGAGCTGGAATAGTTACTCTGGTATAAAATGGCTATAAACCAGGGCTGCAAATGCCTGGAATAGGAGAAATTGCCTAGGAGTAGGGCGTAGAGCTGTTACAGGAGAGACCTGTTATTGAAGTTCTTTGCTGAGCAGAAACCTTCCATGGGTTTCACGGGCTTTGATGATCCTTCAGCCTAAGATAGAAAAGCCCTTTGGGCAGTTATTTATTTTTTTCAAGTAGGGATGCTTCTAATTGATGGCTACCTGATTAACTCACGCTGTTTCCTATTTATTTTTTTTTATTATTTTTTTCTTTGATAAACTGAAGTGCAGTGGAGTTTGCAGAGGCTCGTCCATTGCACATGCAGCTCAGAACCAAGCAGCAGTGGTATCGAGGTGTGGATAGGATGGAGAGCAAGCTGTAGAGCTGTGTGCTGAGGAGCAGCACCACTAACACGGGGACTGTACTTAAAAACCTCTCTCCCTTCCTTCGTCTCTCACAGCTCACGCTCTTTCAGTGTGATGCCTCCTCTGCCCTCCTGGCAGAGCAGCTGTTCTTACCTGGTTCTGCTGCCGTTCCACTCGTGGCATTCTCTTCCAGTCAGTCCCTTTAAGTGAGCTCCACATTTAAAAAAAAAAAAAAAAAAAAGTAATATTTCATCTCTAAAAAATGCATGTGCAGTCAGAGTAATGATCCTTGCTGATCCCAATCACACAGCTTTGGGATTTTTATCTCCCACTAATGCTTTCTGTTTTGGCAAAAGATGAAGTGAGAGCACACTGAATTTTCTCTTTTATGACCTAAAATGACACTCTCTTAGCGTGTCTCCTGTTGTGGAGAACAGCCCTGAAGTACCCTCCGCTCCATACAGCGCCGGGCAATTTTGATTTCTCCATCCGTGGCCAAACTCCTGTGTCACAGGGATTCTTTGTTTTGCATTCTATTTTCTGGCTTCATATTATTCTTAATAACTTCTAGCAAAACTTTAGAGGGTTTATTATTTGTTGTTGTTGGTTTTTTTCCCCTCCAAAGCATGCCTTACAAATAAGCCTGGGTGTCTGTTCCAGTTCCTACGGGGAATGCCCGGGATTTGGGGGTGTAGGTGACGCCGGCGGGTGAGCGGTGGCCCCTGCCTGGTGGTGTCACCCTGTAAATCAGGCACTGACTCTGCCTGGTGGTGTCACCCTGCCCTGTCACCCTGTAAATATGTTTCTGGCCTTGGGTAGCAGCACGAAAGTCAGCAATGTTTTAGCACAGAAGCCGGCAATTGTTCTTAACTTGATGAGGAAGGTCTTCGAGATCCTTATTTAATACCCTACAGATTTTAATCTTTAATTTATTGCAGTTTGTAAATATCCTTGTGCTTACAGTTAGTGTTTTGAGCTTTAATTTATTGAATTAGTCTGTTGGTACGTGTGTCGATACATAAATACGCATACTTAGTAAATCACAGTCACAGAAAAAATATTTAAGAAATTTTAGCAGAATAAAGAGAAATATTCAAATTATATTCAGATGAAGAGGGGTATAGGAAGATTTATGGCTTTGTTTTCTTTTTTCCTTCCCTTAAACAACTCCTGTGTTGAACCTGAACATATTACATATTTATTACATAGAGATGGAGATGGGTGCAGCAATAGCAGTGACAAGGTTTTGATGGTGTTTCTTTTCCTTTGGGAATGCTTTTGCATCTCCCAGGAAAGGGTGGGAAGCTGAGGGACTGCTTCCTTGTGCTGGTCACCTCGGAGGGGAGGGGCTGAAGATGCGCTGAGGTGGGGAGGGCTTTCAAGGTTAATTGGCAATGGGTGGTAATTGCCTTTGCACATGTGGCTGAGATGCTTCTAAAATGTGACTGTATGCAATTGTCAGTAATTGCCGTAGCCTGTTCTTTTGTGCACTTCCAGCAGACAATACTTTTGTGCAAATGCTCCAAGAACTTGCATTTATTCTTTTTTATAAAGTACAATAAACCCACTTTTTCATTAAATACTACTTTTTTGCTCTGTAGCTATTTGTTGGTATGGAAATTCAACTCTTGAGCCGAGGAAGCGAAGTGCAACACGAAGCACTTCAGGCAGAGGGGAGAAGTGCTTCGTCTTGGTGTCTGACATTTCTCAGGCTAGAAATGTGAATATTCTAATATCTGAGAAGCTTTAATACTGAGTTCGTTTTAAGATTTGTTAATTATGGAGTCTGCTGCTTTTGTCCTTTAAAAGACGTGCACAGCCGAGAGGGAGCAGCGGGATTGCTGGTGATGTTGGACATGGACTGCAAAGGTGATGGCTTTGCTGAGCAGCATCCCTGGAATGTTGTTCAGTGTCACCGGGAGCGCGCTGGAAGACACCTGTGCCACGTTCTGTCACACAGGGGACTGGCACTGTCACCCCAGGTAGGGCGTTGCTTTGGAAAGGGTAAAAGTGCTAAAAAATGTTAATTGGTGGAAAGTGTTAGGTTTATTGTAAAAGCGTGGTATGATTTTATCCTGGAGTTGTGTTTGCTGGAAATCTCTGAAGCGTCTGTCTGGGTGTGCAGCCGCAGGCGAGGGCAGCCAGATTTTTCCCCTTAGAGACTAATGCTGAGGCTTCCGTAAGGATGAGGAACTGGTTCTCCCCCAGTAAGAATAGTGATTTCAGAAAATTGTGTTCTTACAGAAGAGAGATGAGGAGATCATTAGTGTAATGAAAGTGTAATGAAAGTGAATAAACTGAAATGAATAAATGGGATTAATGCAGGGGTGAAGAACTTCTCTTCCCCATCTTAATCGAAAGGTGCTGTTGTGTTAGGGCGGAACTGTAAAAAAGAAGAGTTTATCATTTTAAAGCAGTTAATTTATTCAGCCCGTTAACTTGCCACATAGGTGGTGGGGAGCAGTTGCCCCAGTGAGATACGACATGTTGTTGTGCCAGGCTCAGCCTGAAAGGGGATGTTTGCTGCTGTGGTGCTTCCTGGTGGGAAAGAGTGGAAGATGTGCCCGTGTACAGGACTGGCCAGAGGCCTCCCCCCTGGGCTGGGCTCTCTTGGCCACTCTCTTGTCTAGTGGGACACTGGAACAGGTTGCCCAGGGAGGTCGTGGCTGCCCCATCCCTGGAGGTGTTCAAGGCCAGGCTGGATGGGGCTCTGAGCAACCTGCTCCAGTGGGAGGTGTCCCTGCCCAGGGCAGGGGGGTTGGAACTCAATGATCTTTAAGGCCCCTTCCAACCCAAACCATTCTGTGATTCTATGATTGTTATTCGTGGTGTGGGTTATTCATTCACTCTTATGCTTAATAAAGCACATGATGTAGCATTTCTGTACCCTTAATGCCCGCCCCCTGCCTCATTATACATCTGGCTCCTGAGGAGCTTTGTCAGTGCAGCAGCTCTCCCGCCTGCTGGCTGGCTGTTCAGGGGGAATTACCTGCCCGCCTAACGTCTTGAGTTACTCGTCATTTAAAGGTTGCAAAACAATGTAAAGCAAAAAAAACCCCCAATAACCTGAAACCTGGGCTTAAGGGATCTTTTACCAATGGGTTGCACTTTGCAAATGAGAAAAATTGTTGCTTTTAACTAATGTGGTTTTGTTTTTTTTTTTAATTTAGCGTAGATGCACTGTAGGCATCAAGTCAATGCCTCTCTGTGGTGTGTATATACAGTCTACACATAACATTTGTTGATGATAGTTAAAAAGGTGTTGTCTCCCCTTTTAAGCAGGTGTTGCTTTCACCTCACAGCCTGACATTTAAAGGACAGCTCTGGGTTTTGAACTAAATTAACAGCCGTCAATGCCATGGTTTCATAACTAAAAATACCAAATGGCTTTTCCAGCAGCAGAGTCTTACTTTGCTGTCTGACCAGGCGTAGCAGTAACTCTGCAATTTTGCTCCTGATGCTGACGCTTTCAAGGCCCTTGCGGTGGTGCGTTACCTCCCAGGTGCGCCACAGCCAGTAACCACAGAGTATAACCCCATCCATGGCAGGAATCCTCCATGGCTGTTCTGTTTGTCCTTTGGGTTTCGTTTTTTCCTTTTCTGAAAAAACTAAGTAATATGTTCCCTTGAAAAGCTTTAAATAAATATTTGTTTGTACGCTCCTTGCTGCTCCTTTTTGTGTCGATGCCTTGATCGTTAGAAGTTCTGCTGCTTTTGGTGCTCGTGCAGTTTTTTAATTCTGTGAAGCAGGGCCCAGGCTCTTTTTGGTGGGATTAGTGGGTAATTATTTACTCCTTCGATGGGTAAACAACCCAGTTTACAAAGAGGGGGAGAAAAGGTAGAAAATTCAAATGCATATGATGAAAACACTTAAAAAACCAGTATCTTGCATGCACCACCCCCATTCCCAGTCGGTGCTGGTATTTCAATTGCTAAAGCAAATTTACAGCTTCATCCGCTGCACAGAACCAAGACCAGTGGCTGATGCTGGGGCTCCCAGCCTGGCTGGTGGGGCTTGGTGGGACAGGCAAGGCTGTGGTTTCAGGAGAGGTGGTATGTTTAGAAAGGCATTAAAAGATTAACTGCATTCCTGCAATTTTTTTAGTTTATTGTACTCCGGAAAAGATGGATGTTTCCAAAGATAAGCTCTTTGGTTAGTTTTGCAACTGCTTCAGAAAATTAGTGGCAGGTAAAGCTTTAAAATAAACAGAGAGGATGGTACACGCTGGCTTTTCTTGATAAATTCTGTGTTTATTGGGACAGCTTTGAAGGACGCCAAAAATGACTCGCAACTGTCCAGGTGAGAGGAATGTGCTCCTTCTGCTTCAGGGCAGCCCAGCCCAGCCAGGGGACACGGGTGCTGCGGCCACCGCTGGAACCATGAACCATGGGCTGGGGTTTGGGCCTCGCTGGGACCTGCCAAGCGTCTGCACCTAAAGCCACTGCTGAAGCTGACAGCACTTCGCTTCCAGCTGCTTCTCTTAATGCTGCGTCCCTGTTCCTGGGCTTCATCTCCTCTCAGCCCGGAGCACCCCCATCCCTCCAGGTAAGAAAGAGCAGGTGTAGAAATGCTGTTCCTCACTTATGGCAGTGGCTTTACTAGGAGAAATTAGGATTGAGCTAATTGCTTACAGCTGTGTGGCACATCATTACCCGCTGCTCCACAGTTTGCCTGAAACACGGGCAGTAAAATGCTAGGCTTTTTTTTTTTTTTTTTTCTTTTGAACTCAGGCAAATTCTTCAGAATGTATCTTTATTTTCTGCATCCAAACTCTAAAATTACCTCCACGGGCTGTACAGAATTTCCTCAGAGTAAAGTATGTAGAAAAAATACGATAGTCATATTATAATCAAAGTTAAACATTTGATTGTCGAGCCAGTATTTTACAAAATACAGTAAACGTGACTGTAAATCTGAGAGTTAGGTTTATAAAAACATACATTCTTTTGCAAATACAGCTCCTGGTCTGAAAAGCCACGTTTGGGGCAGGGAGATTCAGCCTCCCCAGCTGACGTCATTCCTGACTTATTGGAAAATCACAAGGAGAACGGTCATTAAAACCAAGATATGATGGAGAGTTGGTTTCAGCGCAGCCGAAGGCCATTCGAACTCCTGGTAGAGGGGAATTTTGGGACACGAAGCAGCCCTTGGTCTGACAGAGACTTCTGGGAAAGAGAAGTCTTGTTTCAAAGCACTGAAGTTCCCAGTGTTGTTGGGTATTTCCACGGTCTTCAGCAGCGATTTAAATCCCGGCACCGTAGCCTGAGGGCAAACGTGAGACATTTCTGACCTGGGTTTGGAACGAGTTGTTCAGCTGCAAAGTGATCCTCACCTGATGTGCTCCCTGACACTTTACGTGTGTAGGAAAAGGTGTGTGAAACAGAAGTTTGAGAACACAGAATGAGGAAAAGAGTAATGGTGATAGGATGAGGGGTAATGTTTTTAAAGCAAAAGGGGGAAGATTTAGATTAGATCTCAGGAATAAATTCTTTACTGTGAGGGTGGCGAGGCACTGGAACAGGTTGCCCAGAGAAGTTGTGGATGCCCCATCCCTGGAAGTGTTCAAGGCCAGGCTGGATGGGGCTTTGAGCAACTTGCTCTAGTGGGAGGTGTCCCTGCCCCACGATAGGAGGGTTGGGACTAGATGATCTTTAAGGTCCTTTCCAGCCCAAGCCCCAGTATATTATTCTTTTAAATCTGCTAAAGAGCCTTTACAGCTCCCGTGCGTGACTTGAGCAAGTTCAGCTCATTGCTCTGTAATGAGGACGGAGTCTCACCACTCAGGAACTCAGTGCCACTAGAAACAGTAACTGAGTACGGGCACACACTTACATTGATGACGTACGTCCCAGGCAGAAGGAGAAGGAAGTACTCCCCCAGGTGATTTGTTCGGTACGGGCAGACGTGGGGCCTTCCCTTGGCTTCCACGATGGCATCGGGAATGGGATCCCCGTTCTTATCAGTTACTTGACCCTTGACACCTACGACAAAGGGAGAGGAGAGAAAGGTCCCAGCCTGTAATCATCATGGAGAGTCTCCTTCTCCGAGGAAGCCAGACTATTTGTTGCCAGATGCACTCCAAGGCTATTTGAGTGATTTCGAACACGGCTAAAAATATCACCAGTTGCTTCTCTCTTACTGAAGGGAATTAAAACAGAAAATTCTTTGCTGCTGTTAATAGTTTACCCTCACATTGTCAGAGAGCAGCGCTGTAATCTCTGCTTCTAAATCTCATTTGCTGAAAGCATTATATAGACTTACTATATGTGTCTTTTACTGAAGGGCTTCAATCTTCAGTACCAGTTTGGGGGGTTTTTTTGCCCTCCCTCCCCCCTTTTTTTTTTTGAATTTGAAATAAGTCAGCCTCTTAGGCAGTACTTGCAGTGGCACAACACCAACAACGGCTGCTTACGAAGTAGCTTCCCTGAACTCTCACACAGCACCTTCAAGGCAGGGCTGGCACTGAGCCAAGACAAAAGAGCAGTCGGACATTTTGGGCAACAAAGCCAGGTGTGCCACACAATCAGTCACACAAACCCTTCAACTCGTCGTACGGTGCCACCGCTTCCCGAAGCAGCAGCCACTCCCTCTTCCAACTGCCAGGTCAAGATCACACCTAGAAATGCCTCACACAAACACAAACCCCAGCAGCAAAGCCCCACAGAACATTGTGTGCGCACACACGTTTAGAGACCTCTGAAATAAATGGCTGCTCAGGAAGGGGGACTCCCCGAGGAGGCCGTGCAGTATGTTGGCCCCAGGGGCCTGCCCCTTGTTCCTGCCCCAGTGCATTTTAAGCCCCATTGCACTGGTGTAGTGGTGCCCATCGCCCCACGCCTGACACACCTGGGGCCTCTCCTCCCTTTCCTTCTAGCACTGGCTGTTTCCCAAGTGAGAGCTCCCAAGTTCAGGCCAGAGCTCCTCACCAGAGAGCTCTGGCACCGACCCAGGCTGCTGAAGAGCTCCCAGGTTGCCCACCAGCCCGGCCTCAGCTTTAGCTCCCTTCCCCATCCACACACCCACCTAGATGGACTTGTTTTATGTATTCAATCAGAGCAACTTTGTTGTCCCTCCAGAACTTCTCCAGCTGGTCTGCTGGAGGATACTTGCAGCACGACAGCTCCAGTGTAATTTCAAAACATTGTCCCCAGACATAGTTGTAATCTTGCATTCCACCTTAAAAGGGAAATAAAACAGTGTTCAGCTGCAAAGAAGCACTGAGTTCAAGCTAGAAGAAGAACAGGAGAGTTAAAATGTTGGTACCTGCATCACACCTGTAAGAGAAATGATTCAGGTAAATTATTCCTCAATGTCCTTACTGCCTCCTGTGGAAAACCAACTTAATTACTCTGGTTACATGTGGAGTGTTGTTTTCTAAAGCACAGTGGTATTTCAGGAACGATGATTATTATGGCTGAGAAAGGGTGAGGTCTTCAACTCACATTCATCCAAGCTCTCCCAAGTAAATAGGGGCAGATAAATCCAGAGGCTGGGACAGAGCTCGCCGCTGCCAAAGCCATCCTAAGAGCCTTTTAAGGCTTTGAATGCAGATTGTGAAAGCAACACGCAGTGCCACAGCACACAGGACGTGCATTCTATTTGGCTACACATACACAGTAATGAAAACACTTATTTCAGTAATCAAACATTTTCAAAAAAAGGATGATATACGAACAGAAGATTGGTTTTCCTTCTGAAAGGACAAAGAAGCAGCCAGAGAGCAGAGACAGCCTCATTCCCTCATGTCACTGCTGACAGGGAGAGTCTGCAAACACCCAGCTGCTGCTCAGGGAACGCGCAGGAACGCATTGACTCACTCCCCTCATCAACCCTCCACTCTGGGCAAAATCACTCCATGGAAGAGGGCAGGAGGAAGTGAAAACACTGCATCTGAAGCAGCTGGAAAAAAATACCACCGACATTCTTACCTTCCAGCTGGTACCAAGAAAAGCCGTTGGTAATGCCTTCTGGAAAGGTCTGTCTGTTGTCACACCCCGTCCCTCTGTACATGCTGGCATGGTTCGAAGAATAAGTTTTTGCCAGATGAATGAAGACATCGTCATCCGGAGACCTGCTATAGCCTTTCGAAGTGCCCGTAACTGCAGGATAAAGACAGCCATCCTGTAACTCTCTGTACTGGTAAAACATACAGTGCTGGCTCACGTACCGCATAAACATCTCCCAAGTGCCAGCCAGTAAATTTTGATGGGTTTATCAAACTCTGCCCATCCTCCCAGCTCAAAAGCTGGAAAAAATTCGCAGAAACCCTTGTAAATCTTGCTTTGGTACAGCTAACGTTCATAACCCAAATCAGCTGTGGAGAAGAGAGTTTGTGGCCAGCTTACCTGAGTTACCATTATCAAAGGTGTAACTGGCAACCAGGGCACCCCCATGCAAGTTGGCTGAAAGAACAAACGTTTCATTTTTTATCCAGTTCATTACTGCTTGAGTCTCTGGCTGAATGCTAGCATTGTTTCTTTCAAAGGCATCAGGAAAATTTCTGTTCAGATCTTCTCCATTCTTATTGTACCTTAGAAAGCGAGAAGAAGGCATTCCCGTTACCGTTGTGCCTACAGACACTTACACATCACCATCTTCCCAGTACTTAAGATCTGTAGCACTCCAGTGTCCAACAAGCGAGATGAGCACTGCAAACTTCTCAAGCGTTACGGTGATGGACTTTAGTTTGCTTTCTGGCAGCACTGGAATTTTCACAGGACACGCTACAACAATTCTATTGCATTTCAGGTGGAAACAGTGTATAGGTGGATCTGCTTTGGCAGGGGGGTTGGACTGGATGATCTCCAGAGGTCCCTTCCAACCACGTATCATTCTGTGATTTTGTAATAATATTTAACACGCGTATAGCACGCCTACACCTACACATACATGGACTAGAAAAACCTAAACCAGATAAGGAGAATGTTGTCCTCCTGTATGTGTTTTTCACAGTTGTATGGAAGATCAAGGTAACTACTGTGTCCCTTGTACTGCTGTCACTCTGGACATAGAACAAAAAAATTGACTCAAACACAGGATGTATTCTCTTCTACCTGTACCTGAAGGTCCAGCTTGTGCAAATGCTTCCTTCCTTTTTCACCCAGGTCAGTACAGAGAGTAGAGAGGGTATTAAGCATCAGCTGTATTAATTTGTAAACTCAGCTAAACTCTTGTCTATTTGACAGTGAGGGGATAAAAAAAATACCACCCTCCGTAGAAGTCCTATCTATTTGCTAAGGAATAGGTTTCTTTCTAATAAAAAGGAGGGCCTGTACTGGTCACCTAGAGAAGTAAACTGCCTAAACTCCCTACTTGCTTCTGACGTTGCCATGGCCAGTGATACAAGAGGACTTCTAGCTCATGAGTTTACTTTTTCTGCACATTCCAAATTTGTCCCTTTGGCATGGCTTCTCATTCCCTCTCTCTCTTCTCTTCTTCCCTCTTCTAGCTTGTTAAACTTTTCCTTCCCTTTTTGGTCTCTGCAATAGTTTCATTAAAGAGTGCAACAGTAACACCGGATGCAATTGGCAGGTTACGTTTTCTTCTGCCCAAGTTTTTTCCTAGCTCTACTATTAGCACAGCACCTATTATAGCTCGCTCTGCTTCCCTAACTCCTCCCTCTTACTGTAACTGCATTCAACATAAACTTTCAACACATTTCTAGAAGCCCATTCAACAAGCTCAGACACACCTTTTTCCCATTAAGAAGGGTTACAGGATTCTCCAAGTGAAATAGATCCCTGTGGGTAGAGTTTTCATTCTTTTTTTTGTAGCACCCTAAAGGTCTAAAGAGGTAATTGTGCTTCCATTCGCAATCTGGGGGCCATGCCTAAAGGGTTAGGTCACTACACCAGTCTGACCAATTTTCTCTAGCTGCACCACATATAAACACTGCTCTGACTCAGTCTCCCAAAAACTCTGTGCCGTAACAGTGTGTCTTCAGAACAGCAGGGGCCAAAATTAGCCCTAGCACATTCTCTAAGCTACCTGCTCCACCAAGTATGATTCAGTCTCTTGGCGATCTCCGATTATTACTCCCCACCCATTTCCTTTACCTACTCCAGCCCTCCCGAGCCACCCTTACCTTCCTCGGCTGTAGTAGCAATCAGGCACTTTCGTAGCTTCAAACCCATCAGGATTCATTGTTGGCATTATATGAACCCGGGTATTATTGAGTAATCGGGTAATAACTGGGTCACGTCCATAGCTGGTCACCAGGAAGTCTATCAAATGGAGCAGGATTTCTCTCCCAACAGTCTGTATGAAAGAAGACAGATTTTATTTTAAGTCTGCTATGGAAGAAGAAGGGGAAAATAAACAACCCCCACCACCTTGCAGTTAAAACAAGTGGGGTTTTTTTTACTGGATTACACAGACATACAACACATACAAGAGCATTCTGGTCAACACTGTTTTGTTTTTATGCTCACCCCTAAATATATTCAAAGGAATTTAACAGATGAAAGGAGTCATTGGAGGGTTTTCACACGGGTTTTAAACCCAGATCAACCAGAGCTTTCTTCTGTCATGGGAAACTGACTGCGTCAGCTGCGCTGCTTAAATCCTGCATGGATAAGGCACAGCCTTATCAAAACCTAAAACTGCCCAGGCTGCCTGTTAGAGACCACGTGGGCTTGGGAAGGCAGTGCTGTGCTGCAGAGTCAGCCCTGCGCTGGTGCCCGGGGCCTGCACACACAAGAGTCAGTGCTGCACATCACCACTTGGCAGCCGTGGGTCAGGAGAAAGAAGGAGACACCTTCCACTTTTTCCTGGGTGCTACAGAGCAGGATTTTTTTACTTGTTGATCCCCTTTTATGGGAAGTCAACTTCAACACAGATCAAGACAGGCCCCATAGACACTTCTGTTATATTCTCTGTTACATTGCTTTATTTTAGTGCCAGGCATTGGGAGAATCCAAACAGGTGAATTATAAGTTCTTTAGAAGAAGAGATCCAAGGACATTTGGATGCAGGCTTTGGATCGAGGAAAGGCAGCGGCAGAGGAAAAGCTGAATACATATTTTTTTTTTGTGTAAATTTGTACAGGTCATGAAAGCTGGCAAGACATCTCCCTTTAGTCGCCTCTTTCAGATTTCAGGCAAAAGAGTGGCAAGTTCCACCTCCAGTGAGTTAAGAACAATCCTGTTTTACCCCCGAAACCCCTAGCAGAGTGTTCCCTGGGCCATACTCCCCAGAAGCCCTTTCCATAGCACTGTGACCCATCCCTCAAGGGTGCCATAGGGTTCCGAAGCCCTGGCTGGAGTGGGAACAAATCAAGACTTGCAACTAGATGTGCCCTGGAGATAAATTATCTCTATGTTATCTCCAAGAACAAAGGCAGGTAAATCACTGCAGGCTCCAGTTCAGAGCTACAGTGTCTCAGTGTCTTTTAGAATGAGTCTCACATCACTCTAAAGTGGAAGTACTGCAAAGCAATTATTATTTTTTTCTAAAGTGAGAAACATGGAGTGGCATTACTGGATGAACCTGGTGTCACAGATAAACACCATCTTGCTTTCAGACCGGTAGAGGCTAAGGTGAAAGACAGGTGAAATCAGGGAGGGGAAAAGGAGTATTTCCCCTCAGATATTTGCTGCACTAAGACCTTGTTAGACTTTTCACATCAGTGAACTTTAAGTGGCAAGTCCTGCTCTGGGTGTTGAGGTAAAAAGGACCACAGGCTCCTCTGCCTGCAGGAGCTGGGGTGGGTGTGTATCTGCGGTTCAGGCTGGGAGCAAACCGGAAAACTGTATCTTGGCACTTGCTGTTTATCACAGGAGAAACAAATAAACAATGTAGTGCCAAACATCACTCCTCTAAGTTGTGGATCACACCATTTTAAGCGTCACACTTTGTGGATCACACCCTTTCAAGTGTCATACTTGAAGGCAGCCATGGTCTGAGAGTTAGTACTTGAGGAAATCTGCCATGCTGTTTGTTATTGGGAAACAGCAGATTTGTTCCCAGCTTTGCTACCCCTTGCCTTTCAGCTCCTGATGATCTCCTGCAAGCCACACCATCCAGTAATCCACTAGGGGAAGCTGCATTATGCAAATGTATTTACTGTCTTCATAACTAAGTGGTTCTTTTCCCAGATGCTACAGCAAATGGGCTTTGACACGGTGGAGGGAAAGGTACCTGATTTCCTCCATTTCCAGTAGCTTTTAAAACAGCACCTGAGTACATGAAAGCAGACTGCTCTGCTGCTTTGATAAATTTAGTCCGTGAAATTTAGGAAGGGACAGAACAAAACCTGTCTTGTACAGGCAGCTCAGTTCCAGCTCTGGGTGATAGACATCTTGGGAAGCTTATGGAGCAGAGCGGGAGGAGAACAAAGGAGGGGAGATAAATCAGCCAAATCATGGCCCTAGGCATGAGAGATAAAGCCACCAGACTCAGAAGCAACAAGAACAGCCCTACCACAGAGATAACTGAACTCAGACAAGACTGGACTGCTCTCTGGAAGAACTGGGAAAGTGTCTCTGCTTCTGTGATGCTTCTCTCCAGTGCCTGACAAAAAGATACCCAGAAAAGAAAGGATAGAGAAGCAGGAACTGGAAGGGGAAGAAGTAAAAAGAAAAGCAACAAGAGAACATGGTGGAAAAGGACAAGGTTTATAAAGAATGGAAGATAACCAGTGTTTCATAGATGACATGCTTTGCACTTAAGAGTTAAACCCAGACTTCCTTACATATACAGTCTTTTTAAAAAACCAATGCAATTTTATAGGATTCCTTGTATAGGTATCGCTGTACCCAAGTACTTAGTACACATTCAACAACTCAGCTAATCTCATATCACAGAGAGTTGGTACTTTGGTCGTTCCCCGGTGGGGGAAGAATGTATTTATTCCCATTCTGGTTTGGTGGAGTGACAGAGGGGTGGTTTCTTTTGGTCCAGAGTACCCTGCATTTCTTCAGAAAAGCACATCTGGAGGTGGCTGAAGGGAGGAAGGAAAGTTTTCATTTCTGGGAATGTATAGCTCAAGTTTTGCTCAAGCTTTTAGAAGGCATCTCCTGCCCAGCCAAGCTTTACCCTGGTACTAGAGGGGTCAGCATAATTTTGCTATTTTTCTGATGAAAGGTGACACAAAACAAAGGAAAACCCTTTCTCCCACCTTTAGGGATACAGTTAGACAGTAAGTTTATCTGTGCACTTTCAGCTGTCATTTTCCTTGTGTGCCCCAAAGGGAGAGAGTCAGCAGGAAAAGCCTCCAGTGATCCTCAGGGGAAGTCCTCAAGAAGCAGCATGTGTCAGGGCACAGATCAACACTGTAGAAAAGGGTGTGACTGCTGTTTTCTGTAGCCAAACCCCTTAAACTTGCTGACTATGGCTCCTGGCATGGCTGGGTCAGCAGCCTGCTCAGCTCCTGAAGGGCTTACTCAAGAAGCCCCAGCAGCAACCAGTTACAAAACTAAGGCTAGCTCCAATTGCACCTGCACTGTAACACTGCACTGCAGCACCCCTGTTCTTAAAACATTTTTGTTACCACATGATAGAGACCTAATACCAGGGGACTATGGGTGGATAGACCCTGCCCATTTTTATGGTTAATATTCTTTCCTTTAACGTGGCCCAGTTTTTAAGCTGAACTATGTTGAAAGAACAATCCAAACCATCAAGTAGGACCTGTTTCAGAGCGACACGGTCTTGCCGGTCTCCTTGCTCCAAGCCCAGACTGCTCCACAGAGCCAGGGCAGCATACCAGGCACAGCCCCGCCTAAGGAAGCGGAGGTACAGCAGAAGAAACCCACAGTCCACCCCAGATTACCACTTAAAATCCCACGCTTACAAGGCTGTTCTTTTTTAACACTTGTGCAGTGCTAACGATTATGTGTGGCAGCCACACACCCTACTGTGTCTGTCCTTCTTTACTAAAATAGGCCAGTGTCCAAGGGACTATGCAAACACGCTTTGGCATGTGCCCATTCATTTCTGTAGCAGCAATCCCTATGGAAATGTGAGAGGGACCACAGGTATGGCAGGGAATTGAAGCTCCTTGGTTTATCACCGAAGGAAATGGCAACATAAAGCCTGCTTTATGTAACTGGCATAAGATGTTACCACCTGGACAAATTCCAAAGGCTTTCCAGCGCAGGCTTCACTTGGCTGAGAAAGGGATGACTTTTCCCACTCAGAAGAGTGGGAGTGAAGATAAAGAAAAAGGTAACTGTGATGAGGCAGCAGCCCTGCCTGTGTTGAAAGAGATCTCAGCAGCATCCAGCTTTAAAAAAAAACGTTTGAGATTAGCAAATAGATTTGGTTGCTTTGAATTTTGAAATCTCTAGTGCCTCTGACCTTCTTTACATCACATCAGCCAATACTGAAGCCAGGTGGAAAATAGTTCACTACACATGAAATAATTAATTTTTTTCCCCCATTCTCTTTTCTAGAGTAGATATTTGTTTCCCTGCCATACCTCTTCCATACCAGATTGCACAGTACAAAGGACATAAGAAAATTCCTTATAGCAGATTGTGTAATACATGGACACAACTCTTTTTGTCCAAGCAGGTGATTAAAAATGCATTTTTTTTATAGTGGAATTTTGATAGCGTAAATAAAGCTTCCATTCATTTTTTTGGAAATGAGGGGGAGAAATTCTACACAAGACTCATTAATTTGTTTTTTTTTTGGTTTTTTAAGCCCAAATTATATTGGTCACAAATAAACCTACCCACTTCTCAGTTGCATAAGCCCTAATAAGTCACCATATCTCAGGAAACTCTTCTGTGGATATGACTACATCTATAATGACATGGAAAATAGGGTCTAGTTGCTTTAACTTAAATCACAAGATAAGCCAGCATGATAAATACATCCTTTCATGTAGGCTAGCTCAGGTCTATCAGTACAGGCTCAGCTTCACGTAATAAAAGAGGCAAAATACTACTACACTAAGAAAATAAAGTGATCAGAAGTGGGTGATTTAGAAGAAAAGAGCTGGTATCAGCATTACCATCCTGGGAAAATTTGTCTTGTGATGACCCAGTTACACTACAGCTGCAGAAAGTTAAGGAAGATGTACACTTAACACATTACAGGGAACAAGCAGAAATGCACAGGTAGTTTACGCTTTGTTCAGACATGATTTTCCTTAAAGAGTTTTCCTGCTGTGATACACATGGTTTAGGAACAGCCTTCTAATTAGATCCTATGGTTCAGTTGTGTAGACTGGACTCAAGTCACTTGCTACAGCTGGCCAAAAGGTGATATTTCTGCTCCATTTATGACTTAGGAGTGTTTGGGGGTTTGCTTGTGGTCAGTGTTAAGTGGAATGAGCTTCCCTCCCCAGAGAGGAATGTATGAGTGTACATACTGAGGAAGAGAAGATCTTTCAAGCAAGAGTACAAGCCTGGTACAAGGGAGGCTGCTGCCCAATTCAGAATGAGAGCTGCCACAGAACAGCAGGCAGCCTCTCCCTCATCTTCCTCAGTGTAGACTTTACTAACATTTCACAGGCTTGCATGTTTCATGCAGTCTTTTATTGTCATTTTGATTAAAGTCTCACATAGCTGCGAGTGAATGAACTACCTCTAATGATCAGTTTTAATGTGGCTTGGGTTAAACTAAAGTGTTGCTATAAACGGTGTCCAACTTCATACAGGCACACAAAGAATGGGAGAGGTCTTCTGTTGCATCTCTGGGGATCTGGGGCAAAGGTTAATTCTATTTGGCAATGATGATGACAAAATAAAATAATTTAAACATTGGCTGGTCACATCTTGCAGTACTAAGAAAAATTTAAAAAATTAATCTTCCTAGTTCTGAAAAAAAATACTCTCTCACTAGTATTGTGTACTCACATTATTTTATCAGAACTTCCCTGTTGGGCAGGTCTCCAAAAGACCTAGGATTTCTTCCAGCAACACGTGTGAACAGCCTCCACACGTGCAATTCAGGCTCCCCCCCAACTTTTAGGTTTTGGGAGCAGCCAGCCAACTGAGTCAAAAAAGAAAACTGTCATTTGTGTGATGATGACAGGTTTGAAGGGGAGGCAGCATCACCAAACAACACTTGAGAACTTTTCTCACTTTGTACCATTAACAGAAAGCATCACCGAAGCACAAAAGACCTAACGAGATCAACGAAGCCAAAATCCTGCAATTTTAAGTTATGAAAGACTGTGGAACACAAGTTGAAGTTTGTCATGCAGTTAGTGCAAAACTTATCTGCTTAATATATTATAGGGGTAGCTGAATCTTTCCCCAGTGACTAGTCTAGCAGAATCTTAGATTATGGGAAAAAATCTTGAAGTTCCCCAATGCTTCCCTATACAAGGAATTCATTTCCTGCCATCTGAAATACATTTATGGTTGGTCAGATAGGAAAAACAAACACCAACTCTGCATTATATCCACACACACAAAAACCCCATAAGGCAAAGAGGAATAGCTCTATTTCCAGAATCTTCCCTAGCTTCATGCTTGGTCTAATGAACACACTAGAATGTAGCATGGCACTTAGTACTATATATGTACAAAAAATTATATATGTATATACACACACACGCACACTATGGTACCTAGGCAGAGCAAGGATCAATCCTGTGCAGACAGACACAGAAATGGTGCCAGATAGTAAAAAAAAAAAAAAAAAAAAAAAAAAAAAGGTCTTGCCTCATTTCCTCAAAAAATCAATCTAAAGATTTAGATTTAGTCTGGAGCAGACTGAGGGGGGATCTGATCAATGCCTATAAATACTTAAATGGTGGGTGTCTTTTAGGCCAGTCTTTTCTCAGTGGTGCCCAGGGACAGGACAAGAGGAAATGGGCACAAGCGTGAACATAAGAAGTTTCATCTAAACATGAGGAGGAAGTTCTTTACTTTGAGGGTGGCAGAGCACTGGAACAGGCTGCCCAGAGAGGTGGTGGAGTCTCCGTCTCTGGAGACATTCAAAACTCGCCTGGACACGTTCATGTGCAACCTGTGGACCTGCTTTGGCAGGGAAGTTGGACTAGATGATCTCCAGAGGTCCCTTCCAACCCCATATCATTCTGTGAGTTTGTATATCTACAGGTTCAAGAATTGCTGGAGATCAGGCAAACAGTGTGTGTCTCCACGGTCAAAGTTCCTTCCACATATCACCCAGCTGGGCAGTGACAGTGGCAGGAGTGCTTCATTGGGGAGGTTTCAATAGGAGGAGTGGCCTTCTAGCAGTCCAGCAATATCGGATTTGAAAGACGGGCCACTCTGGATGAGATCATATCCTGCCCTCCACCTCCTTCCCACCAAAGCTGGGTCATTTCTAGCCATGGGTTTGCAATTTCCTTCAGCAGTCTGCAGGAACTGCCATGTGGAGCCTCAGTTCCTGGGCTAGGAGTTGCAAAGGAGTCTTGGGCATCCAGTAACACTTGTACCCAATTTGAAACCCTGAATCAGCTTCCTCCCACACAGAGTTAAATTTCAAATCAGACTCCCAGCAGCACTTTGAGTGTAACTGCTGTCAAACAAGGTGAAACTAGTCTAACTTGGGGAAAGCTCTTGGCACATAATGTCACAAGTGCCTGTAGGCGTGCAAGTGCTCACACACAGTATGGGTCATAGGAATAGCCTGTGATATGTTATGCTGTACACAGGATACACTTCCTACTACATCTGTTTTTCTTAGTTTTGGGAATTCACAGTCTAATACATATATATAAATTTTGCCATTTCTGTTTGATTATTTACCTTCCACATTAAAGACTGCATAGAAATATCCTATGTAGTTTAAACTTAATCTGAACATATCACTACAAGCAGGTAAAGCTAAAGAGTTAAGGAAATAAAAAGCCAGAAAGCGTTATACAGAAGAGTGAGGCTTTGAGTCTTTCTGTTCCAGATTCATGTCTTACACCAGGAAGGCTCATATTAACAATAAAGGAGATAATGGTGATTAAGTGGGCATTCTTTCCAGAGCAAGTTAATCCTGAAATCGCTTTTTGTTTTGTACTCACTGCGTTATCTCAGGTGAATCTGGATATTCCTACCTTAAGGTTCCCAAGAGATATTTTCTTCCTAAAATAAATCATTTGGTGCTTCACAGCAATTATTACTCAATCTTAGGAGGTGTTTGAGGAGTTCTAGCAGTCATACTTCATGCCTAGGCAATAATAACGTACAAGTGAACCATTGGATCTGACTCGCTGCCAGGAAAATTAAAGCCTCTGGGTTTATTCATGTGGCAAGACAAAGCTCTTTACTTAAGAGAGGTCTTAAGTGTAGGATTGTAGGATTCTTAACCGTGATGTAAGGTCTCCTAAAGCCCTTCCACCAAAACAAGGGGGCTTTATTCTCGAAATTCCTTAAGAAACACACACATATAAATAAGGTCCTCTTTGAGGTATGACATACCTCAGTAGTAAGTAGCACATGCCTGAGAGAAGTTCACTTTAAGCCTCTGGTAAGTGTATTTGGTATAAGTGACATTGCAAAAGTTGAAACGTACCTCATCCCCATGCATATTAGCAACATACTTGAACTCTGGAATGCCAATCTTATGATGGGTTGGAAACCTTCCCAGAACAAGAACCCACAGGTTTCTACCTTTAAGAGGGGAAGGGGAAAAGACATTTTTTAAAACAAGTGTAAAATCATACAAACCTTAGAGAAAAACAAATTAGAAAAAGAGTTTGTCATTAAGATCACCGAACAAATTATCATATTTCATTGCTGCCCAGTCAGTCCTATATATAGCATATTGAAGTAGACTGTGGGGTTTCTTATTCTGTGCATACTTGCTAAATTAGTTATATGAATAAATATGTTTTGCCTTCTGACCAGAAGTGTCTAATGAACCCTGCAATTTCAAAGGCATTTAACCAATGCTAGAAAAATAATGTTTGGTTTTTTGTAATAAATATTTTTCAAATCAAGTTTAGCAAGGAAGATCTTGTCAAGCAAAGTCATCAAGCAACTAAAGAGTATTTAAAATAAAAGACAATCTTTCCCCAAAATTAGTAAATTATGCTAAGGGTTTTCTGAAGTGCAAACAGAAGGTTTTATTATCACAGAGTGTAACTTTTTGTATTAACGACAACACAGCAAAGCTAAACACATTCATGACTTAATGCTCAGAAAACAGAAAATACCAGGCAGAGGGCAGAGCTGTATCAGAGATATATTAAAAAAAAAAACAAAAAAACCAAAAAAAACCCCCAAACCAGCAGAGAAAGAATTAATAGCTACAGAAAAAGTATTAGTTAGGAAAAGCTGCACAGGAAGCTGTTGCTGCAAGGTTTTCCTGGGTGTTTGTACAAACTTTTATAATAGCAAGTGCTGGCAGATATTTATAAAAAAAAAAACAAAAAAACCAAAAAAAACCCCCAAACCAGCAGAGAAAGAATTAATAGCTACAGAAAAAGTATTAGTTAGGAAAAGCTGCACAGGAAGCTGAACTTTAAGTAAAAAAATAAACATTTTGGAAGTCCTCATTCAAGGGGGTGGGGGTTGCTTATTATTTTCAGTGATGTTGTGGCATTTCAGATCTCATTCACAAAACTATACTTCCCACTAGTCTGCTCAGTGAGGCGGAAAGCTCTGGTTTCAGTAGATGGCAGCAATGAAACTGGAGCAGTTCCTTGATGACAGCTGTCACAGCCTACAGATTGGTAATGCCCAGACCTTGCACGCGTCCTGCCTGTCCCCAGCTCTCACACAGGGATTGCTGGGACCCCTGAGCTGTCTCAGAGAGACGTCCAGCTGTCATTGGTACTTAAGGAAAGAAGAATGTAGGTGCTACTTTATACAGTAATATGAAAAGTGTTATTTCCTAAATTTTTGCAAATCATCAAGTCTGTGGTAAAGACTCTGGAGCATAACAATTTCCCATAGGCAGAAGCCACGACCCTCATGGTATAGCTAAAAAGGAAAACAAAAACTGCAGCGACTGCAGTACCTTCAGAAATGGGAGAAAAAAATGGAAGAGGACAGAAGAAACACTACAAGAGGCACTGAGGCACAACCACAGGACAGGTGCAACTGAAGTCAGCGGTTGCCAGACTAAATTCTCACTAACAGGTTGAATCAGAGTCTCAGGCTTAGGATCAAGAAGCAGCAAGTCAGCACTGAAAGCTGACAGGTTCAACAAGGAGTGGCCTGAGGATCCCTTAGTTTTACACAGTCACTCTAGAAGACATCGGTGTTCAACTCTTATACCCATCTGTTATGCCCAGAGCTGTGAGATGCCACTACTGACTCTAATTAAAGGACAATCTGGGCAAGCAATACATACTTTTAAAAGTAAGTTCACAGTAACTGCTCTGGTGAGGAAGCTACTTATTTGGCTTTGTCGCATGCAGAGCCACTGTTTCATTAAAAAAGAGAAAATACTTTGGCTTCTGTAAGTGTAGACAAGTTACAGAGTAGAGAAACGAGAGATGCTAGCTTTTAAGCACATCCTTCATCAAAAAGGAAAGAAAAAGAACGACCAATCCCCACCACCCTAGCCCTTCTCCTCTCCAAAATCTCCAGAGGTCCCTTCCAACAACAACTACCCTGCAAATTCTGTGATAATAGAGGACAAGTCTTGCTGCAGCAGTATACATTTGGAACTGAAAAAACCCTAGTCATAAAAAAAAAACCATGCAATTTTTATTCATAACCAAGCATGGACAACAATCTCAACTTAATTTCTGTTTCTGCAATGCATCACAACGTCCTACCCATGGTTGTATCCAGGTGCAGCCTACAATGAAGTGACAAGGAAGTCCTTCCAGAGCGTTCCTATGATTCTTTGTCCTTCTGTCCTCTAAGCCGTTCTGCCCAGCTATCCTTTCCTGTACTGGAATTTCAGATTTCAGACATCCCTCCTTGGTTGCCAACCGGTCAGTTGACATATGGACTGCTGCACCAACAGGAACACACCTGCTTACAATTGCAGTTGCAACCTTTCTGCCCCAGCCCAAACTTAAGATGACTACAGGGTGTAGGTTCCCCAGCTAGGGATTCATCAGACCAAGCCACAGTGCCAAAGAGCACATCCAACATCTAAAAAGACAGTGGTGAAATAATAAGATTAAGGTAGAAAAAGAACCTATATTGGAGACCTGATGGCGTCTCAGCTCTCTCCTAGATGGAGGTGGATACAGCTAAACTGTAAAACACATGGTTTCCTCCAGAGGAGGCATATACCTTCTATAAGGTTATAAATTCATTTAGCCCTGGGTGAGTACCAAGCACACAGACAGGGCTTCAAAATACATTAGAGCCAACAGCTTCAGTGAATTACATGTAAAAAGTCCTCTCAGAGCAAGTGAAAAAAGTTCTAAATAAAAGCATTATTTTCCTCAAAGCCTTGATTATTTCCTAAACAAGCACAAAGCAGTGCCCTGGAGAGAGAGCTTAGTGCAGCACCAGGACATTAAACCAACCAAGATATTTACTACTTTTATATTGCCTTTCTGTACATAATGATTATCTAATATATAAGATACCCAACCAATCACAGCAGCCAAACAATACTGTCGTTCCTAGAACACAAAGCATTTTACCTCACCAGTAACCAGATATTAACATTAGCCCCTGCTTCTATTTGAACAGAAACAGATCACAGGGCCTATTTCAAATCCATTTACTAGCAATAACAACATCCACATCCATTTCATAAAGATTTTTTGAAGCATCTCATAAGCTGATGTAGAACACTGCCATATTCTTTAGCTACTTCCCCACAGCAGCACTAGCACTGATCCAGTTCTATACATACTAAAGCAACACAGAGTCCAAGTACAGCTAAAATGCTATAGTTATTTCTGTCATTTAGACTTTCTAGAAGTCATATTGTATTCTGATTTCAAATTATATAAAAAAATTAAATAAAATTCCCGTGCCTTGTCATCAGTGGTGCTCATTCCTGCTATCACTGTGAAATTGCACGCATGGGAAAGACAAGGAAGAGCTAAGTATAGACTAGCATTAAGTACTGATTTAAGTTGGTCTTTCCAGCATTAGTGTTTAGACTGTTTATAGTTTGTGTGAGGGCCATCTAAATGATAAACACTCCCATGAACTGAGAGACCAATTATTTCCTGGCATTTCCAGCTTGTGAGAAGTATTAAACCTGCCATTAACAATTAAAATAAATTCCTGGGTCTGCTCAGCCTGCAGTACTGGATAGTGTACCTGTGAGGGATGATGTAAGATTTCTTTCCATACAGCAGTAAGTTACTGCATATACAAAGATATAGCATCTAGATAAAGTTTCCTTTAATCAGTAAAGCCTAGATAACTCTGTTTTTCTACCTGAAGTGAACAGCTAAGCTACCTCCCATGCTTTGAATCAACTGAATGTATATCAAAAAGCCATTTCTCACTGCCAAACCAGAACTGACTTCAACTAATTAGTGAACTATATTTCAAGCACTCAAGACAAAACACATGTTTCTAACTGTGCGTCTCAGGACAAGTAACAAGGCTTATGCTGGAACAGAGTCAAATCACACAGCTTCTAGTAGAATGAGCATTTTTTAAATTTTCTAGCATTGTCACAGTTCATGGCATAGTATTCAGTATTTTAAACAGATCTACAAAAGCTGGGAATTAAGATGGAGAATTGGAACTGATCTCCAGATCTAGCAGGAAAGAAACCAAATAATTTGTAGATGTTGCAGTCAGCGTTGTGTTTGCTGGTATCTTTTGTTCTGAAATTTATTTCTATTTTTCCTCGCTTTGTTCTTTACAACTTCATTTATGAAAAAAAACCTGTTATAATTTCAAAGAAAGTTATGACTAGGAAATGAAGTGAAGTGACTGGACAATGCACCCGACCCACTGTCAGCACCGCTCGGGCTACAGATTGGGAAGTTTCCATGAAGGTCTGCTTCAACCCTCAAGAAAAAACAATAGTCTGCCTACAGTCCTCTTGGGCTGGCCATGCATTGCACACTGAGTTCATGGGTAGGAACTACAGTAACGCTGATCCACATTGAGGCAGTCCCTACCTAGAAAGGCACAGGACAGAGAGAAGAGGAAGAAAGACTGATTCTCATTAGAATGCAAGGTCCAAGAACAATTTAATCACAGAAACACAGAACAGTCCACGTTGGAAGGGAACTCAAAAGATCATCTGGTCCAACCTTTCATGGGAAAAGGAGCCTAGACAAGATTATGGAGTACCCTGTCCAATTGTGTCTTGAAAGCCTCCAGTGATGGGGACTCTACCGCATCTCTGGGGAAGCTGCTCCAGTGAATGATTGTTCTCAATGTAAAAGATTTCTTTCTTATATTGAGATGAAATCTCTCTTGGTACAACTTGTATCCAAAGCCCCTTGTCTTCTTCCATGGCTCCTTGTGAAGGGAGAGCCTCCATCCTCTTTGTAGCCACCCATGAAGTACTAGAATCCTATGGTAAGGTTCTCCCTCAAGCATTTTATTCTCCTGGGAGAAAAGCCCAAAATCCTTCAGTCTTTCTTTTTTTCAGGTTCTCCAGCCCTTTGATCATCTTTGTGGCCCCCCGGCTTTGGGCCCTATCAGTCTATCTACATCTTTCTTGAATTCTGGGTACCAGAACTGGGGTACACTGCATCTTGTGGGTACACAGATGCAGT